CCCCCCGTGTACAGCCAACTTCATGCTCGTCCCTAGGTAGGCGATATAACAAGGTTTGACTACGCCTTTAAGTTCACATCTAAGAACAAATCGGAAACACTGCAAATTTCAATGCCACATTCTCTGATTGCTTTTTTCTCTATGTAATCAAATTACAAACAACAGCTAAGAAAAAGACGACAAACTAATCAATAAATTTGATCCCCCAAAAAAATCCAATATCTTTGACGACCTTTACATATTATCACTGTAAATCTGTATAATATCTCAGAAATTGTCTCCAAAACTAAAGTTTTCCAACAAAAGGATCATGTCCTTTTCAAAATCTACCTACTTTTCTTTTGAACTGGGTAAGCCATAGCTGTGAGCTTTTTCAGCTCAGGACTCTCAAACTCTTTCCTGATAGGTTCCATGAGGTCAAACAAGTACGATTCAACAGCACTCTTCAGATCTCCAGGGTGCACCTCCTGTTGAGAGAGACAAAGGAGGGATCATAAAGGTTGAGCCAACTTTGAAACTGAGTCACAAATTCCGGCACAGTCTGTAAAACATAGTTTTAGTTTTAGAAGAGTTTTTACGGCGTTCGAAACTGTGTAAGGGATGGACGTAAACAGAAAAGTCTTAACAGGGAATCAGGCTTACTCTGCTCACCTTTCTAGCTTCAACAGCACAAAGTCTGCTTCGACTATCAAGGTATCCCGGAAATAGAGGGTCACTGTTGCAGTTCAGACACAGTTATGAGCATGACATTGATGAATCAGTCCATTCACAATTCTACTGTGCATAACAACATGTTAATGTCTCCCCTATGGGAATGACCTAAAGACACTTCAGTCAGTAGCACCCCCAGGGGGTATGTAAAATATAAAAATTATCAAAGCAATCAATCATGCTGAAACTGCGCACCAAGGTAAGAAACTACAACATGATCATGGTGAAAAATTCAAGCTCGCCTTAAACTGATTCTACGGCTGCTCCAAGTAGCATAGCATTGCTTCCATGTGACAACAACATCAACAACACAGAGAACACCATACCTCATTTTTAAAAGCCGTCTCTAGCTCAGCATAGGTCTTGAATGTGACATCACCACCGTATTCAGGAGCCCGCTTGACTTCAAACCCTGATAGACACATTACAGAATTGTACATTTTACTACCAACCCTTTGACAATATGTGCAAAGCATAAAAAAAAATCAATGTCAGACTATTTAACTGTTCCAATTTTTAAAAAAATGTAATTTACAAAAGTTTTACTCATGTTGGATTGCAGTTAATAACCAGTCAGCCTTTTGCTGGAACAGATTAGTCCATATACACAATAACTGACAAACAGAAGTTATCCGAGGGCACTGGAGTACCCATCTACAAAAGGGTTTGTAACCATTAACATTTTAAAAATTCAAATGACCTTGTTCCAATGCTACACAAGATACTTTATTCCTTTGACAAATATTTATAGAGTCCATACAGCCATACTGTGTTAGAATCTGAACTCCAAACATCAGCCACACTGTGTTAGAATCTGAACTTCATACATCAGCCACATTGCGCTAGAATCTGAACCTGTTATCTCCTGCAGACGGACACCAATATCCAAGTCCTACTCCTACTGCAATATACCAAAACGAGATACAATTTTCTATTGCCTTACTGGGGAAACGCTGAGTGCATGAATACTAAGACTGTACAGAAACTGAAAATACAGAAGGACAGAGCTTTTTTTTTCACTCTCTAGGAAGTCTCTTTATTGTGGAAATATTCAAAAGCCGTTTTCTCAAAACCCATACTTCAGACCTCCGTGCTATTTGAAATGCTGTCACTTTTATACAGGAAGCTCTAATTGCAACAAAAGAGAGAGTGAAAACCTAAGGAAAAGAAGAACCTTCGAAAATATGCACAGAAGTCAATTTTGAAAATGTCCACAATGTCTGGTCTTTTCAGAGCCACACAGACCGATGATTGAGGACATATTACCTGTCAGTAACATTTGGTCTCAGAATGAGATGGACGTAAGTAAGTTTAGTCAGTGTTTAAGGCCATTAGCCCACATCACATCATATTAAAGACTCATTTGATGAATAGAGTTTTCATTATGAAAAAGTACAGGTTGTGCACATATCTCTTATCACGGGTCAAACATTGCATATTTCTGTCACTGGGCTGGAGATGGACATGCACACTGTGTAAAATACTCACCATTAACCGCCCTCAGAGGGTACAGCACATATTCACAAAATGACAAGACGCCATTGTTTTCAATGTTCCCTGGCTCACAGAAGGCTTTCTTTAGCTTCTTCTTCACTTGCGCCGCAGAATCCAATAGATCAATCTTCGAATCTTCCTCTGACGAACTCATCTTAGTGCCTTGTAGACCAGGTACTGCAAATTGGATACATTTAAAAAATGTGTAAGCCATATTATGTCATAACTCTCGAAAACAAAAAACATATATGAGCCACAACTATGTTACAGCATTTTACAAACGCATTACAAAGTGGGAAATTCACCATTGGTGGCAAGCTGCTTGCACAGTTCAGTAATTAATCCTAGAGAAGCCACTGAGGTAGACATTCCCAGATCTGTTAAGGACTGATGTTATCCCCCCCTTCCTGCCGCACCATTAGGACCATTTAGGAGGTCGAAGGCTTCCAAACCTGGCCTGCCAGGGCTACTCCAAGCCCGAGAGGGGATCAAAGCAGCCCGGCAAACAGAATGGAGATACTTCCCTCAGCTGCAACTGATCTAGATAGTTTGTTTGAGTAAAAAGAAACACATCGACACAACAATGGTCATTTAGTGCTAGGGAAAAGTCAAGACAGACAGACAGAAACAACAGAGGGAAAGTGAAAGTAAAGAAGTAGGATCTACGAGCGGCGCCCTTCAACCACCTGTGCAACTGATATCATGGCTTCAGCGCAAAGCATGACGAGCTCAACAGTGAAACCAGTTCTCTCCACATGGGAGGTGAATCCACGCATGCATAGAGATCAGAAACACGACTTGGATTTAGATACTTAAAGTCAGAAGAAGCAATGAAATGAAACTAAGAAATCAATACACAGCACTTTTAAAACCATGCAATTCTGACAAGGTTTTATCATTATTTGCTACAACTTTTGACTGCAATATCTATTGGATTGCAAAATCTATAATAACCAATGGTCCTGAACTTACCCATGGGGTTCATCAAATGAACTCTCTTTTTGTAACCAAGCTGTGGCAGGTACTGCAAAGCAACAACAAAAAAGAAACAAGGAGTAAAATAATATATGTAAAAAGACGGATTTTGGGACATTTTTCCTCAGGAAAGGACCAAAATAGCAGTTCGTTCTGACAGACCTTTTTTTTTTGTTTCTTCCTGCCAGTTGGAGAGACTTAATTTTACAAACAAAATATAGAAATCAAGCAATAAATAATTGAAAACCATGTTGTTCCACAGCATTTACATTTCAAGCAGGACTTTCTTTTTTAGAATTTCTCCCCCGGAACTTTCCCAATGAGTCCCTTGTGTGACTATGCATATGAGACTGTGAATCATCACGTGTTCCACTGCACAGCCCTAAATGACATGAGAGCTACCATTCTCCCTCCGAGACCTAAAATTGACAAAACACTCTATGGAACATTACAGCAACTGTAGCAAACCTGCACGTATCACTACATGGCATTGGACAGAAAGGCGAGAGCCCAGCCGTTGCAGGATCGATAACAACAACAACAACATTTATAATTTCTCAGTTCTCTACAGATCACACAAAACATAGGTAATTGTTTAACATCACAAAACCCCTGAAAATACAGAACATCTGGTTTGAAGGGCACGCCTGGACAAGAAACTGCTCAGAGGAGAGCGGATTAACAAGAACACAGTTAAGACAGGAAAAAACTCTCACCTTCTCCGCATACATAAAGATTTTCCTTTGGTCCACTCCACCAAACTGGGCGTCTGCTTTGAGGTATTCCTCGTCCAGAGCCTGCAGGCCGGGGTAGAGCAGTCCACTCAGAGGAGGGCTGGCCGTCTGCTTGACCACCTCAGCACCGGCCTTCTGGGCATCGTGCTGCGTCACTATGGAGCTCAGACGGTACATGTCCAGGGTGTACTCTCTGGGGAGTGCACGACAAATATTTCCCCTCACAAGTACTGTGTGTTCTCAAACTAAATATTTCCCCTCACAAGTACTGTGTGTTCTCAAACTAAATATTTCCCCTCACAAGTACTGTGTGTTCTCAAACTAAATATTTCCACTCACAAGTACAGTGTATTCTCCGAGTACATGACAAATTAAATATTTCCCTGTCCCTCCCCTTCATCTGAGAATAAAACCCTTTGTGTATAAAAGCAGGATCTCAACTGATTAAAGCTCTTTCAATACCCCCCC